TATGTAACAAAAAATTACATCCCCTCAGCATGTATGTAATTACTGAAGATATTTCAAACAAATGTTAATCAGTTATTTACTTTAAATATTTACAAACAAAGAAACTATTCATTCGCTTGCAGAATACCAGTTAGTTAACGTAACTCGAAATTAATTGAATAAGAAGAAAAAAAATGTGATAAAAGAGGGAAGTGTGAAAAGTGCGGAAAATGAAAATAACAACAACGTTTTCTTTTGTTAGAGTCCCAGCGCGTTCTGTAGGCAGGCGGACTTCATTTACTAATTAGAAAAAATTTCATAACGTTTTGAAAAGTGTATTAATTATTAGCAGCCGTGGAAGGGAAGTGTAAACGTAAAAGCAAATTACGACTGAAAGTTATAATTGAATTGCACTGCATTTGGCAGGTCGCGGTATAAATATATGTACTGCGTACATAATGTGTATCTTCATTATATACCATTCGATTTTGATGCTTTTGATACACACAGACATATGCACCAATACTCGTGCACATTAGTTATTATATTAATAGTAATATGATTTTATTAAAAATATTTTTGACAGTTATAATTTTAATACTAAATGGATTTACGGACGAAACATTTTCTATTTAATTTATTGATTTTAATTATATGCTTTTATTAAATTCAATAAAATGAGACTATATATATGCATACTACCTATATTATAATTAATTTGAAAAAATATATGGAACAGAAGAAAGAATGTTAAGATATGCACTGAATTAATTGGATACTTAGTAAGATCATTACTGAAAGCTTTGAAGGATATTCTTGTTCATGAAATTTATGTTTATAAATTTAAAATCTAGAGACAAGGCATTCAATAATAAAATTATGTAATCATTATTTTTTTAATTGGCTGTATGTATAAATCATTAGAATTATTATTAAAAATACCATAAATAAGGTCATTAATACAAAAAAAAACAACTTTTATTAAAATTTAGATTTGTAACTAAGTATTATTTAATATTGAGACGGCGCCTCTATCACCACCTTCATGCTCTGAAGGATTTTTTTTAAAGATGTCCTTGTTGTTCGCGTTCGGCGCTAAGTCCAGAAAGAATAACGGCAACGGTTCTTTCGTGTGTCTGCTTCTTGTTTTAATTATGTTCTTCACTTCGTGTCCGAATTCCTCAATCTCTAGTTTCAATTGATGTACATCCACCGACATGTGGACGTAACATATAACATATTTGCATATAACATATTTGCTCCTTCAATTCATAAGTGTGTAATGCTGTTCCCTGGCTTTCCAGAGTCTTTTTATGGCTGTGTAATTTTCAGAGGTCTTCGGGAGAATTTTAACCGACCATCTTAAAGAACCATCTCGTGCCTTGGTATCAATTGCTGATTTGAATTCTTTGTTTCAGAAGATTTTGTTTGTAGATTTCAACTGGAATACATTTATATCATAAAAAAATATATTAACACAATAATTTCATAAGCAATATTTTATATGTAACAAATTATCTCTGTTCTACTACATAATTTTCTATCTAAAATATATCAAATACTTTTAATAAATGTTTATATAACCTAAACTAGCAATTGAATAGAAAACTGCACATTTTATATAATATTTATAAGTTTCATTTAGAATAAATAATAACAAAATATTTATTGCAATAAGAACAAAAAAATATCTGTGCATAAGGGTACACCCAATTGAATTTTCGGCAATCTAGAGATAAGTAGCTAAAAATGTTTGTGCTATATTATATTAGATATTTGGAAGGTTTTCAATGGGAAACTATTCCGCTCAGCGCTATATTCTGTTGCAGTTCCAAAAATATTTACTCGTTGCCAGAATTTGACAGATTGTGAATAATAAATTTATTTAAAATAAATATTATTTTTGTGATTAGTTATTATAAATGAAGGGGTTATGTTATTTTTCTGTGTTGGACAAAAATAAATTAAGAAATAAATTTAAAAAATTAAAATATTTATGAATTCTACATTCTTAATGAATTCACTTATATATAGGAATATTTGAATGGATTTCAATTTTCAAATGTATATAAAAATGAAATGAAATATAAGTGTATACATATAATTTTCCATACACAACAAAAGTTCAAGGCACAAAAGAATTTTTTGTTGTTTCAAAATCGATGTAAAGAATAAACATGTATTTTTGTTAATGGATTATACTAGAAACAATAATGGATCACATGTCGGCCTCGTGCATAAATAATAATGGAATTATTACACAAAAATTCCTGAAACAATAGTTTTGTTTCACATGTCCACAGCACATTCGCGAAATGCAGTGTACATTGCATCCATTTATAAAAAAAAACATGTGAAATATTCAAAATATCATTTTCCCAGTTAAATATTGTCGAAACTGAAATGTAAAGAACTGAAAGGACGGAGATGAAAAAAAAAAGAGGAAAACATGTAACCGTCGAAAGGAAAAGGGGGAAAGAAGCAAAGAAAGGACCAAACACTGTAAGTTGAGAATTGGCGAGCGCATTCTGCCTTTGTTTCATACCAGTCGCAGCGCGCATTTATTTAAAAACCTCATCATTAGGAAGGGTAGAAACTTCAAAGTAAAACGCACCAACTTTAATGCTTCGACCACACTTTAAGGTTTTCTTTGATACTTCGTGTTCTTCACTCAAACTTGACTGTATCTCTGACACGAGTCTAGCTGTCAATTCACAATATCCAGATGGAAGGAAATATTTCATACATACAAATATAGCTCTAATAAAAGCACAAGTGTGAGTATAAAATCATGCAATCCAAATATAGATATATATTTTTCAACTTCGCGTTGAATTATTTATTTATCATAACCTATCGGAACCCAATCATATTTTTATGTAGAGCAGTCTTAGAAGGATTATGGAAATGATCGTTGGGCTGTTGAATTTTGCATAAAGGCCGCAAGGAAATACTTCCAAGGGCTTGTGTGTCGTAAATGGAAGAGCTTTTTCTGTAACAACCTATAAATACATTTCAATACACCTTCGCATACATTAATTATTCAAATTTACTTAAGATATATATGGAAATTCAAGATAAAAAAATAATAATTAATCCATATAATAAATGTACACATTATAAATTGTTAAATTTCTAATAATGAACACGATTATAATTTTAATTAAATTCTGATGTGATAGGTAAACCAATATTTCTTTATAATAAATTTATATATTCTATAATTTTCTTCTATTATAAAGTAATTATTAATTATAAAAATGCATAGATCATTTTTTCATACATTCTTTCTGTTTTGATATAATAATTATTAATGTCTTAATAATAATAATAATTTATTGGCCAAATATCAATACATAAGAAAAAAAAGTACATTCTATACATATAAATAAATAAATTCTTACATAAAATTAAAAAAAATATATATTAATAGGCTGGCCCTATAAAAGTTATTAAGTTCAACCTGGTCTTAAACATTTTGATATTAAATTCGATACACTTCATTGTTACTATTAATACATTATTTTAAACATGGAAAATTCTTGTATCCAATAACAACTCTTTTTTAATACTTAGTAAAATCTTACTAGAAACAATATGGATTATCAGATTAACCAATTAGCCAAACTAAGCGAGATGTATAATATTATATATTTGGATTTGTGAGAAACAATTGTTGGGAACAGAATGGGCATCAATCATCGAATCAATTCATCGATTCCAACTGAATTGCATGATTGACAGATTGCTGGCATATCATAGTCCATCACCAAAGTTGATGATCTGTATGAAGACTGTCCAGGTAATAGAAAGATAAATCCGATGTGCACAAGAATTTATTAGCAGTAACTTATAAATCAAACACTAAAAGCAAATAATTAATTGAAAATAATATAATATATTAAAATGTATTTTCATTTATAACTGTAAACAAAGCTTGTACTTCATCAAATGAATATATTGCAGCGTCAAAAATTTTAAAATAATTTGATACTTGCAGTAAAGAACAGTTTCTAATTATATATAAATGAAAAGTATAGGTTTACAAAAAAAAATAATTCTTAAGAAATAATACCATGAAAACGAGTATCCAATAATATACACTTATTAGGTTTGTATATTAAATTGGAATTTTGTCGTTTCAAATAATGAACTCGAATTAAGTTATTTACAATTACTAGTCGGAATTACTGTAGTCAATAATTCTTTGCAAGTATTTTAATTTATATAATAAATTTTACCTTAATTATACATTCTATATTTTTGACTGGTAATGATTATGAATAAATTATATTTTTATAAATAATTTTTGTTTTTTTATATTTTTTTCTTTCAATTCAATACGTACCTAATGCAATTTGTATTTTTTATCCACTTTTATCGAAAATTATTTGGAATCAAATTTGAATTTCCTGTTTTAAAAGAGATAGCAAATTTCAATCATTGCATATATAAAAAAAATTAATTATTATCCATCTATCAGTAAAACAGGATATGTGTTCACAGCTCAATTCCAAATACTTTATTAATTTCCTGAGAAATACAGATGGGTGTACAATTCTGGAGCAGATGTAGGTCAATGTTCATAGATGAATTTACGTTTGCATTGCTTCAGAAGGATTGATTGTGTTATAATTGATTGGTTTGTCAATTAAGGACATTGTGCATTATTGAATTTGGCCTCGAACACAAAAGGCAAGAGAATGAATATGTCACGCTCCGGCAAGCCGAATACCGAATGCCCGGGGACTTAAGCTCCAGTCCCACGAGTTTCCTACTCACTCGGACGTTTGAGCTATCGAATCATTTCTGGTCAATGGGTCTAACAACGTAATTTACCACAGCAAAAATCAGTCAAAAATCTATAGATAATATAGAAACCACTTCCGTTCCCGAGTAGCTGCTTTGTTTCGCAACTTGTTATTTTCCTTCCTACTCCTATTTCTCTCTCTATCTAAATATTAGAACGTGGAAAGCTCGGTGACCTAATTCCTATAGCAAATAGTATTACTATTACTTACGTATATCCAACTGCGAGCTAGGATGCGGCAGGATGAGGTGGCTCAGCAGAAATATTAGCCTCCAGCTAAAGAGACATGGCTTGTCCTTCTCGGCTCCCATATCCATCTGATGACTTTGCCAAGTCACATGTAACTAGAAAGCAAAAACAAAAATTAATAACCCGACTTCTCTCACTCACATCCATATATTTATATGCTGACAAAGAAATGCACATGCGCTCTCTTACATAACTAGACAATATTTAGTTTCGGAAATTTCTCGTAGTAGTATTCATGGACGGTGATAGTTCGCAGTCTTAGCAGCAATTACGTTTTGCATTTACTGAAACAATAGAGCCGCTAAGTTCCACAAATCTCCTGGGGGATATAGCGATAATTACGTAATATTATTACTACTAGCGGATCCCACAGGGCTCGGGCGGGCTTCGCACAGTTCACTTGTAAAAGGGTCAATACATAAACATCCGCCAGCATAAATATGAGCGTATGCACGGCGCGGCCCAGGATCCTGACTTGTTGCTTAATAATCATAATTAAAGCGAGCTTTTCTGTACACGGTATTGTCTAATTTCGTATGCAAATTTTTAATAATTAAAATGAAATTTCAGATCGCATGTTCTCCCGCCTACTGCACTACCTACAGCAAACGATAAAAGGAGGGAAGGCAGAAAAAATCATGCACGCATAAACAGCATGTTTAATCGATAAACACAGAAAACAAATACGTGTATGTGTATGATCATATTTTTATTATGCAATTTGTGAAATACTGAATTATGAAAGTAAAATATCTTTTTTTTTTGTATTCATAACTTAATGCATTTCAAATGTCCTTTTATTTCAATATTTGACAACTATTTTAATATTTCCCATGTTCCCATTTTAAGAAATAATAAGAATATTTACTGCAACAATTTTAAATACAATAAGTACAAGAAAAGTATTAATAAAATTATAAGAATTATAGCAATTGACATATGATTCTTTACTTTACACCTGACAACAAGAGGAACGCCAAATTTATGGGACTATTTGTAGAAAAGAATATTTTATTATCTTCGAGATAACTTTCTGTTGTAAGTCATTTTTTCTATATAAAAAGGTGCGTCTTATGGTACATTTTTCTACATCTAAAGATATAATTAATGTATTTTGATGAAGATACTTGTGTTTCTAGAGTTTTGAACATTTCAGTTATATAAAAATTAATAATTATTAGATATATTTACAATAATATTCAGTAAACTTTTATATTTTTGGTTAATATTAAACCACTATTTAAAAAATGCTTTCCTTCATATAATATAATAATAATGCAAAATTGTAAATGAAATAAATAGAATAATATAACAATATTTACTTTAATATAACTAATTCATTTGTAAAATTTCAATTAACAGTAACAAAATCCATAAATGATCATATCCTTTAGTTATAATAAATATTCTTTTTTCTTTGTACTAAATTACCATTTTTTACTCATAAATTAATTATAATATTTATATTTCTGCCACATAAATATAAATACTTATAATAATAATGTTTGTAAAATAAATATATAGACAATTTCAATTATTAATTATCATTGTAATTGATTATTTTTCAAAATAATCATAAATATGTAATGTAATAATGTAATATTTCTTTTATTAATTAGCAACATGTTCAAAAGTGTTCAAATTCAAATAAATGTATACTGTATATAAAAATTTAAAAGAAGAAAATTCAAGTTTGATGAAATAAGTTTTAATTATATTCAATACAGGAAAGTTTCTACATAGTTGCATTCTTTGGTTAGTACTATATTTAAGTTTTTGTTTGGTGGCAGCGGTGAAGCAAAGTTTCACTTCTTAGTTCTAGCGTCACCACTAACAAAAAATATCTTATAATAAAAGAAAATGTAGAAACACAGCTGAATATACCGTAACTACTCATAATTAACAAATCTAAAATAAAACAGATATGAAAATCCTAAGTTGCTAACCTGAACATAATAATTTCTATTATAGTACATATCATATAAAGTTTCTACTTTAGGGCGGAAAGACGTATTTATTAAAGAAATATCTTTTTATTTATGACCGTTCCACTATAATAAATATTATTTTTGGTAATAATTATTTGTAGACAAAAATAAAACACAATAATCAAAATTCAATTTTTAAAATAATAATAAACTTAATGTATTTATGTATGCATGCTTCTACACACATGCAAAGGGTTATTGACCGCATATTCTAAATAATATATAACATATTTCTAATTAATTACTTTTTTTATAAACACATATATCAATGTAATACAAATAATTTATATTTTTTATTTTCTATTATATGTATCAAGTTATCAATATTATAAAAGAAATTAGTTTCATGTATATTTACTTACAAGATCTACTCAATAATTATATCCAAAGGAAAAGAGCATTCCCGTTATAACGAGTACTCTCTAATTAAAGGCGTTAGTCTGTCATTAATTCGAGAGAAACTGTAAAACTCGAAGCACTAAATTTGTCTTTAATCGATTTTTCTGACAATTAAGAATTAGGTGAGAATTTTATTATACTTTTATTTTATTTTTATTCTGTCTCGCTTTAAAGAGGATAAAAACAAGCAGATTACATTTTAATTATGTTTGTATTATTATATTCTCATTATTATAAAAAAAATATATATATTAATGTATACTACGAACATACGCATTGAATATACTGTAATTACATATGATGCAAGATTGTGACTATATAATATATTGTGGATACGCCAGGTACATATTAATTTATTTGTTTAGTAAACAGTATCTTTTTTGTGATTTTTTTTATATTTATGTTTTCTTTTAATATTGATTAAACAGATTGTATTCAATAAATAATATTCATTGCAACAAACTTAAGAAAATATCATAATAAGAAAACATTAAAGTAAATTGACTTGATGGAAGGGATTGTATACATTATAAAGCAATATAAAATTTTATATAATAAAAGCGTTGATTATTAACCATAGCGCTTTACTTTAATGGTTAGAAAGATCTATAAGTTTTAAAAATACTAATAATATTTTTGTTTCCAGAAATAATTACAGCAAAAACTCGCATACTGCCTGTTTTAGTCAGGATTTATTAGTATGATGGGAAAATTTTAAACAAAAAATAGTTAAAATTGACAAAATAAAATCTACATCGCCAAATCTCTATTTGTGCCGTTTTAAAGTCTTCGATCAGTCTGGTTTCAAACAGACTGAGATATTGATGGAACCGATTACCCGCACTAAGCGACGTATTATTTTCTATACATTTGATATTTTTATAGTTTTACAATAAACTGCTTGTCTACATACAAATTTTACAAAAGATAGAAAGAAAAGTGATGTATTATAGAAATAATAATATGGAATAAAAAACGTGATTTAATCATAATAAACTAAAAAATAATTAACCTTTTAGCCCCCTTAAAATCCTATAATATGTTCGGGGCCACTTTAAAATTTTAAAATAATTTTCCTGTCCACTATTTTAAAATACTGATTTTTTGTAATATTAAAAAAAATGGTAATATTTATTTTACAATTAAGATGTGCCAAATTAATGAGACTTCTGTTGTCTATTCGTACCTCAATTGCGTTACTCGATGATAGTCGCATGCAAGAGTCTATTCGGAATCAATTACGTAGTTTTGTTTTAATATTGACCATTGTTGAAAATGCCTTTTCCCATTTCGAAAATATTCGATTTTATTCTTCGAATCCATTTATGAAGTTTCATTTTCATCGTCTTTTATCTCGTATGGAAAACATATTGTGTTAATTTCGTTGCATAGATAAATTTTGTTGGTTTAAAACAGAGAACATGTCTGCCAAGTAAGAAATTTTTGCAATTCATGTTTTTGTTGTCGAATGGCCAAATTTGATTTTTATCACTTAGAAATATTTTATAAAAATATTATTTGAAAATGGGAATAACTTATTGGAGTAGATGTTAACTACGTTTTAAAGATGTTATTGTATAATTTTTATGTTTCTTTTTTCATAATAAATATTGCTTAAAAACGCCTGATAATTATGTACCAACCTAATATTGTAACGACCACTCTAAATCTTCGAGGTTAAGAATCGCTGCCATAAACCTATCCGACTATAATTTAATAATTATTAAATAAATAAAAAGACATTATATACTAATAGATAATTAATACATTGGGCGGAAAGCATGCGGTCAATAGTCCTTTGTATGCTGTTATACAATAAACAATGAAAGTAGTAAATAGATAGTTAATAACGTTACCTAATCATATATTCAATATGTGATATTTGCAACGTATCTACTGGAGTATTTACTAAATACGGTGTAGTTTATAGGGGTTGTGCGTGGTTTTAATGACTACCCATATTTGTTCATTAATGTTCTAACATTTATTGACCGATGTCCTGCATTGCAATATATTGATTATCTAATTGGAAAAATGATTTAATTACTTATATTGCAAATACTTATATAATACGAATATTATTTGCATAGTATAGCAATACTTTGTATAGATCAGTCCGGAAAATTAAAAAAGAAACTAAATTTTAATTAACAAAATAAAAATTCATAAAAAAATGTTTTCAGTCCGGATTCAAACGCTCCAAGAAATTGTTTTCGCCCATTACCATAGTGCGGGTGCAAGGTATTACTGTATTTATAGTACTTGGTAATTAGGTATTAAAAAATTATGTATTAAAACATACATTATTTTTTCTGTATATAAATGAAATATTTCAATAGTAAAATATAGACGTTATATATTATAGAAAAGTTGAATCAACTTACATGACTATGTAAAATTGCTGAGAAAAAATGCTGTTGCAATATTCAGCATATAGAAAGTAAAGTAGTCGCAAAGACCTTTCACGTTCCTCCTTTTTTTATATACATCAAAAACCATATTTTCTTATAAAGGGCATGGTGTATTTCGTAAGTTTGTAAATCACGTCTGGTAAAGAAAAGCAGTTCCATTAATTTCTCCCCTCGTTCGTACGAACGCTGGTTGGCATACTACACACCGCACACCCGTTCAAATATTCCCTTTTATAGTTGAAGGGAAAACGAGCACCTGGCCATCTCTCTACTTCCATAATCCTGCCATTACACTAA